TTTATTCTTTTATATTTTTATTAATTTCATCATTTCATATAATTTTATTGTGTATTATTTATGAAATTATTTTATTGTTATTTAATATAGTGTTTTTATGTTGAATAAAATATGATAAATAAATATAAATCATCATTATATCAAAATATCACAATTACATATTATAAATATATTAAAATAATACAAAAATGAAATAAATAATGAAGTAACATATATTTAATTGAATAATAAAATAAATGAAAATACAATATTATTATTCTTTTTATTTTATCAATTTATCATTCTTTTATTTCATATTTATTATCATTATTATCATTATAATTTGAATAATAGTGTTATTTGTTATTAAAATAAAATAAAGAATATAATTAAATTTATATTGATTCTTCATTATTATTCATCATTTCTATTTCATTATTCTTATGATTTATTTTATATTTGAATAAAATAACAACTATTATATGAATTAAAAATAAAATTAAAACAATAAGAAAAAAAAATAAAAGTATGAAATGAAATGATATTTAAAATAAATAAGAAAGAAGAAGAAATAAACAAAAGAATAAAATTAAAGAATAAAATTATTACAAAACAAATATAATGAATGATATATCATTTAATAAGAGATGAAATATCAATTCAACACATTGAAACAAATAAATAATATGAAATAAATTAAAAATGAATAAACATAACATATTAATAATTAAATAAATGATGATTGATTTTATCACATTTCATTCATTTGATATTTCATTCTTTATTTTATTATCATTTAATTTGTTTATTATGTATTTCTTATCATTTAAATTATAAAATAAACATTCTTTTTATTCTTTAATAATTCAATTATCTTCTTTCTTTATTTCTTCTTTATTATATATAAAAGCAATTTTTTGGTATTGTTTTATTCTTCTTTAATTCTTCTTCACATCCACATCCATAAAAACATTTATTTCCAAATGATGTAATTGTTGATGGAATATTAATTGATGTTAACGATGTACAATCATAAAAACATCCATATCCTATTTTATTAATATTTGTTGGAATATTAATTGATGTTAATGTTGAACATTCAGAAAAGCATCTATTTCCTATGTAAGTAATACTTGTTGGGATATTAATTGATTTTAATGAAGTACTTCCTTTAAAACAATAATCACCTAATTTAGTGATTGATGATGGAATAATAAATTTATTAATATCTTTCTTTTCATATTCTTTCCATTTATTATTTTTAAATTCTTTGGTATTTCAATACTAATTAAAACTGGTTCATTCATAAATATTCTTTCTTCACTTATATATTTTACATCTTCTATAGTAAGTGATGTTAATGATTCACATTCTTCAAAACATCCATATCCTATTTTATTAATATTTGTTAGTATTTCAATTGATGTTAATGATGTACATTTATAAAAACAACTATCTCCTATTTCACTAATACTTGTTGGAATATTAATTGTTGTTAGTGATGTACACCCTATAAAACATCCATCTCCTATTTTACTAACATTTGTTGGTATTTCAATTGATTGAATATCATTACATCCATAAAAACAATAATTTCCGAGTGATGTAACTTCTATTGGTATTGTATTTCCATATTCTTCTCTATCTTCTTCTGTATATTCGATATTTTTATATTCATTCATTTCTTTTTTCTCTTCTAAATATCTTGAATAACTCACTTTATACCATATTATTTGTTTAAATATTCTTCCATCTTCAAATATTTCATCTTTTTCATTATAAATATGAAATGTTTCAATATTAGGAAACAATTTTCTGGAATATTGATTCAATGGAATTGGATTAAAATGAAATCGTTCCATATTCCCTCTAAATCTTTTAACTCCCATTTCTAAATTAATAAAATCATTAATATCTTCAAAATACTTCGAGACAATCATTATTTCATTATGTCCTAATTGCATTCTTTCTTTATTATTTTCTTGTTTATTAGTTCTTCTTTTATTTTTAGTTTGAACTTAAATTATTATTAAGATAATCGTCATTCTATTTTTCTTTTTTTTATTTTTTTAATATAAATTATTAATAATTATATTTGTATTAACTTAGCTATTTCTTTATATTTATGTCATTCATTGTTATTTTCATCAACTTCATTTTTATAGTATTTATAATGTATATTTATATATGATCATTTTCTAATGCAGGAAATACAACAAATTTTAATGCTAAATACAATGGCTATTTTGTAATATCAATATGTATTGTAAAGAAAACAAACAAGTCATAAAAATCAAATGTCATACAATAAAGAATGAATGTCAATAACAATAAATTGCATACTAATGATAAATGAAATAACAAAGAAAAGAGATTAGACGAAAGATGCAAATAAAAGCAATAAATACCAATGTAAATACAATAATAAAGAGTATACAAATAACAAATATAAATAAATAACAAGAAATGATACAAAGAAAGAATAAAAAGAATAAGAAGTAAATGGGGAAAGAGAGGGTATGAAGAAATACTCAAAAATATGAAGGTGAAAGAAAAAGATAGTATAATAAACAATAAGAAGTATATTCAATCAAAAAATGTCAATTAATAAATATATCCTCAATTGGATTTTATGATTATTGAGAAATGATTATTTCAGTTTCTTCAATATGCTCTATTGGTGTATTAGAGTTCATTTCTAGCATGCTCGTATTAAATTGTTCTTCTTCTAATGTGCTGCCAGAATTGAATGTATAAAACATTAAGTCTTTCATATTTTTTATAATTATTGTTCGTAGGATTTTGGCAAAGTCTAAATTTAATTTCAGTGATTTTAATCTTCTTACTGATTCTTTATGTATTAATCAATTTATTGATAATATTACAGGTATTATTTCAACATATATTATTTCTCTATTATTTCTTATTTTCTCTTGTAATTCTTTGTATTTATTTATTTTATGAATGTAATTTAATTCTATATTATTATCTTGACATATAGCAACATCTATAATATATCCTTTCTTTTCTTTCATATTTTGATATTATATATATGGTCTTCTAGCATGGAAAGAATGGTCACTAACCAATAAATCTTTATTGTAAGTTATAACCATTTCATCATTATTAATACATTTAGGAGGATTATTAAAGTCGATAGCATTAAATTCATTAAAATGTGTAATTAATATGTGTTTAAATATTTGCTTACAAACATAATCATGTTTTGATATTTGATTCTTTTTCATTATACCATAACAAGATGTGAATAATAGATGCAATAGCGTTATGACAATATTTTAAATCATCATTTTGGAGTATTTTTGATTTAATACATTTTCATTTCATATGTACTCATTCTTGCATCTTTACTATTTGGAGGAATGCATTTCTTTTTATGTTTAATGACATACGTGTTAAAATATTACAAATTTAAAAAGAAGAGAATAATTTTTAAATAAACTTTTTATGAAATACAATCTGTTCAAACCAATTTAATTAAATAATATTTCAAAAAAAATTTTACTAATTTATGTAAAATAAGATAAATAAAATATCTTTATTATATTTTAATGTATTATAAAAATAATATTCATTTCATTGAATGGCATTTTTACAAATTAAATAATAAAAAATTTCTTCATTAAGTTATTTTTCATATAATTTATAAAATCTTTTAATTTTAGTTTAATTATTCCAAATTCATTCAAAAACCAATTTTTTTCATATATTAATAATCAAGTCAATTTTTACTAAAACATTTTCATAGAACAAACAAAATTAAAATGATAAAAGGCAAACAATAAAACAATGATAATAATTTAGGGTTTAAAAAGAAAATTTCATATTATAATCAAAAAATTCAAAAAGAAATAAAAACTAAAAAGAAAGGAATAAAAAAAAAGAAAGGAAAAGATATATTTAAATTCCAAATTCATGAGTGGATATACAACATTATTTAAAATAGTAATATTAGGAGATTCAAGGTTTGTTTAAAGTAATTATTAAAAAAAAATAAAATTTTTTTTAAATAAAACAAAAATAATAAGAATTAAGTGTTGGAAAAACATCATTATTACAACAATACATTACTAAAACTTTTGCTGAACAAACTAAAAGTACTGTTGGAGCTGATTTTATTACAAGAGAAATTGATATAGATGGAAAAATTATTGCACTTCAAATTTGGGATACAGCAGGAAGTGAACGATTTTGTTCATTAGGACCAGTTTTTTTTAGAGGAGCAGATTGTTGCATATTAGTTTGTGATGTAACAAATGAAAGTACTTTTGAACATTTAGATGATTGGAAAAAACAATTATTTCAAAGTTTATCATTTGAAGACTTAAATAATTTTCCATTTGTTATTGTTGGAAATAAAGTTTGTATTTCTTTTAAATTAACAACAAAGAAATAACATTAAATAAATAGTCTGATTGTAGTGATGAAGAAAGACAAGTTAGTTTTGAAAAATTGTCTCATTGGGGTGATGGAAAATACACTTATTTTGAATGTAGTGCTAAAACAGGTTGGAATATTGATAACATTTTTATTGAAATTGCAACTCTTTTAAAAGAAAAACAAAAAATTAATTTTTCTATGGAGTTTGTTTTTATTTTATTTTTTTTGTTATTCATAATATTCTTTATATTCATTTTTATTAGTGAAGCAATTGAACCTTGTCGTCTTGAAGATGTTTCAAACATAAAGGTTAAAAAAGATTGTTGTTGATAATTTTTTTTATTTTGTTATATATACTCAAATATTTTTAGTTTTTTATATTAATATTATGAACTATTTTATTCAATTAATTATTTTTAAGAAATATTCAATATATGAAACATTTATATATTTTAATTTCTTTATTTAATAGACTAAGATACTTTTTACAATATAAAACATAATAAATATTATTGTACTTGTTATTGTGTAAAACCTTTGGGTTTTGTAAAGAAATGCCAATAAGTCGTAAAAATTCAATCTCATACAATAAAGAATGAATATCAATAACAATAAATGACATAACAACAATATTAATAATGGTAAAAGAAATACAAAGAAAAGAGATTAGAAGACGAAAGACACAAAGAAAAACAAATAAATACAAGGTAAATACAATAATAATAAAGGTAATACGAATAACAAATATAAATAAATAACAAGAAATGATATACAAGAAAGAATAAAAAGAATAAAAAGTGAATGAAACAAAGGAGAATATTCAGAAATACTCAAAAAGTAAGAAAGTAAAAGGAAAAGATAGTATGATATGCTTCAAGAAGTATATTCAATCAAAAAGAAGAAATTAAAAGAAGAAATTAAAGAAGAAATTAAAGAAAAACAAAAGGTATTGAAGAAAATGACATTAAAGTAATGGAAGAAGAAATTAAAAACAAAACAAATTAAAGAAATGAATGAAATATGTAAAATTGCAAGAATAATAAATAACAAAGAAAGTATAATGAAAATACAAGAAGAAATAGAAAATAAAGAAATAGAAATTTAATTGAATTGATGTATTGATTTGCAATTAATTGGTTAAATAAGAAATTATATAAGAAATTAAGATGGGAACAAATAGAAAGTATAATAAAAATAATAAACATCAATGTCAATAATGAAAAAGAATATATTAAATATAATAAAATATCACATAAAAGAAAGTACTAAACAATACATTAAAATGAAAGTAAATGATATAATAGAAAGAAGAGTAGAGTGCAATTCAATAATAAAAACAACATAATAAATAACAACTCCGATGAAATTGATGAAGAATACCTTAATACTCTCATCAATAAAATAAAAGAAATGAAAATCGAAAAATGTACAAACATTAATTACTACTTTCAATGAAAAGAAACTGAAGAATTAATAATGGAAATTAATAATAGATGGGTATTGTCAAGAAGCAGAATGCATTATCTGCAAGATGATATGAAGAGGATTTCAATGGTTATGCACCTCTATCTCCAAAATAAAATAATAGGAGATAAATTTGATGAAATAAAAGAAATCCTAAAGAAAATCAATAGACTAGAAGATTTGGTCAAGGGAAATTGTACAGAATAAAGTGCATCATGAAATTAAATGAACATGATGAAGAAAGAATAAAAGTTAAAGCACTAGAAAGAATAAAGTACCTAAAATATATGATGAGAATGATAAAAGAATTAAATTTAATAAAGATGAAATAATCAGAATCAATACAAATAAAATCATGTTTGATTCTAATAAGAAAATTAGAATAAGGAAGAAAGACCCAAATAATGAAATATACCCAAATAACAATATTAATTTAGAATAATGGAAATGTTATATGAAACACAGATGATATTAAATAAAGAGAATTTGAAAATAAAACAAATCACCATATTGAATGAAAGATATAGAAATTATGATAGTGTCATAATAACATTAAATGAATTAAATTTAAGTATAATGAAAATAATTAATTTGAAATATTCATTGACACAGTACAAAAATAATATAAGAAAATATAAGAAAAAATATAAGTAATAAATAAAAAGAATAAAACTCATAAATGATATAACTAATGTTTCATATCAAAATATCAATGAAGGTAAATGAAGAAAATAAATAAAGAATAGAATAAAGAATCGAATAAAGGAATGTTAAAATAAATTAAATAATCAATTGAATCAAATTGAATAATACATGAAGAAAGTGTTAGATTAAATAGAATTAAAAAATGAAATTGACATTATAAAAGACATTAAAAACCATGTCATTAAAAACATGATGGATGTTATTAAACATTGTTTTTTACTACAACCAAACATACCCAGTAAAACCGCTTAAAGAAGACACATATAATTGATTGTTCTGGAATGAATAAGAAATAATAGAAACAATTCTCTCAATACTTAATTACTTAGTTTTATTTTCTGTTGTTTTATTCATTTAAATAGAACTTAATATGAATAAATGAAGATATTATAAAAATAAAATATACTTTAATTCCTCAATTTTATATTAAAAAAAAGAAAAAAAAACTCAAAATGTTTAATTCAAATGGAAATTACGTCGTTACTTGATGAAATGAATAAAGTAGGAGATTCTACTATTGGTGCTCTTAAAGAAGACAAAAAAAATGTACCGATTTTAAGTACAGAAGAAGCAAGAAAAAAGTCTATTGATTTAAAAGAACAAAAAGAAAAAAAACAAAACGAAGACAATGGAGAAAAGAAAAGTTCACATACAAAAAAACCCATTAAAAAACTATTAAAGTCATCATCTTCTAAAGAAGAAAATGACAATAAAAGTAAAAAACCAAAATCAACTTCTTCAGATACAAAAGATGAAAAGAAAAAAACGATTAAAAAGAAAGTAACGAAAGAGGAAAAAGAAGAAAAAGAGAAAAAACGAAAAGACATGAAGAAAGAAAAGAAAACTACAACAAAAAGCAAAAAAGAAAAGAAAGAGAAAACTGAAGAAAATGAAGATGAGAATGTAGATGAAAAAAAAGAGTTAAAAAGAAAAAAAACCACAAAAGTTGAAAGTAGTGAAAAAAGCCATGAAGAAAAAAAACCAAGAAAAAGTGATAAACGAACTAAAATTATATTATCAGGATTTGATGTTGAACATGATCCATTTGTTGAAGAAATTAAAACCTCTCCATTTTTCAGTGTTCAAAAAGCTATGGATGATATTAAACTTGTTTTTGTTCATAAGTCAATGAGAACAGAAAAAGTATTAGATGCCATTGTTAAAGGAATTCCAGTTGTAAATGAACAATATTTAGAAGAATGTGAAAAAGAAAATAGAGAAGTTGAAATTGATCCGTATTTATTAACTGAAGCTTTTCCTGGTCTTTTAGTCACAAGCCAAGAAAGAAAAAATTTATTTAAAGAATTATCTATTTGTATTTGTGGACAACCAAAAATTCTTGCCACTACACTAAGTGCATGGATTGAACGACTTGGTGGTAAAATTACTATTAGACCAAAAGATGCAGATGTAATAATATGTGGACAGTTAAAACATCATTTATCTCTAAGAGAAAAAAAGAATGATAATGTTCAAATAGTAGCAGAAAAATGGTTATATGACTCAATTAGTTCAATGAAAGTAATGGATTATAAAACTTATAAAATTGATGTTGAAGCAATTCAACCTGAAAACGATGAATAATTTCAGATTGATTGAAAAAAAAAACAAGACGATTAAAAACAATCACGAATATAATAATTTTTTAAATTAAATTGTTATAATTTTTTGATTTTGAGCTTTGAAATAACAATGATTTTTGAAATTAGAACGAATAGTTTGTAATGTTGACTTTTCAATCTTTTCTTTTAGTAAAGAAGTGATAAAAGAATCAGATAATTTATTTGAAACAGTTTCTATTAATGCATAAGCTTCATCAGCAGAAGTAGCTTTCATTAAATCACCTGAAATAATAAATATAATTAATTAATAACACAAAACTAATAAAAATAAAAAGAAACAAACTTTTTAAGTACTTCAAATAATTAATTGCGATAATATATAAAACATCTTTTCCTTCATACAAATAATAGTCCCAAATACGTATAACTAACCTAACAGGAAAAACATCAATAAATAGGTCAGCAAACCAAGTAATAAAATAATTAAGTTCAAATCCGATTGAACTTAATTTATCATATAATATAGCTATTTCTATTTTAAATAAACGAGGAAAAATAAATAAAGCCTCTGGCATTTCAATATCTAAGAAATTACCAATAGAATATTTATCACTTCTTAATTGCCTTAACAGTGAAAATGCTACATCCTCACCAACAACACACAATAACAATCCACCAATTTTACAGAGTGATGGTGTTACTACACTTTCTATTTTTTTATTTCTTTCTTCATCACTTACTTCTATTGATTCATCTCCAATAGTCTCATCATATAAATAAGAAACAACTAATCTTTCTAATTTATATTTTCCTCTTCCTTCAATAAATACTCTATGGTCATTAAAAACATTAAGATTCATTCTAATTTCTTTTAATATTTCTGGACTAATTCGTTTACTTCCTTCTGAAAATGATTTTAAATATTCTTCATGTACAGCTTTTGTTGATGTAGCATGAGTAAAACATTCCCACATTCTTGCTCGAACATTTGGGTTTAATACACTCAAGTGTTTTTTAACCCATTTTTGTTCTTTAGTAGTTGCGTTTTTCCATTGTCCAACAATAACAGACCATTTTACATTATCTGAATGTCTTTCTTTACGTGGTGATTGATCAGGATATGGCACTTCAAAATTAAATGCATCATATGTATGTGTTTCATCAGTTTCTGGTTCTTCCTCAATATTTAATAACTGCGCTTTTGCAAAATGTTTTAATTTTTCTGCATAGTCATATGGAGTCATTCCATTATTATCAATAGAAACAATAGATGCTCCATTTTGAATAAGATATTTCACTACGCTTGGTTCTGCGCATGTCGTTGCTGCTGCAACATGAAGTGGTGTTTTACCTTCATTATCAAATGCATTTATATTAATACTAGCATTTTCTGAAATATTTTTATTTTCTTTTCTCATTGAATTTTCAACTATCATTTCAACTAAAATTAAATTATTGGTTCGTGCTGCTAAATGTAACGGTGTTTCTCCTTTTTCATTTTTTGCTCCACAAATACATCCTGCCGTTATAATCGCATGACATAAATCAATCACTTCGTAAGAATGAAGAGACAATATGATATGTAATAAAAGTGGCTCTTTTATTAAATCTCTATTTTTTTGTAATAACGTCCTCACAGTTTTAAGGTCACCTTTCTCTACTGCATTTTTCAATAGAGTGGTTTTTGGCTCCATTATTTTTATTCTCTTTTTTCTTGTTTTTTTCTCTTTTTCCTTTTTTTAGTTTTTTATTTGTTGTATAAACAAGTTTTTCTTATAAATATTATAAATTATTCTTCTGTTTGAAATCTGAGATATATCTCAATAATTGTCGTTTCATTTCTTCATTGATACCATCGTTTTCTACCAATAATTGAATTTCTTTTTCAGGATCATCAATTCCACATTCAACCCATTTCTCACTTTCTTCTCCTTTAATTAATACTTTAAGTATTAATTTCTCATTAATAATTTCATTTGGAATTGTCTGAACAGTAGTTGCATTATATTTTGCTTGTAATGAACTTAATTGATGACGAGCATTTTTGAGCATCATTTCTAAAGTATCAATTTGACTTTTAACTGAGTCAATTTGGGTTTTTAATTCTTCTTTATTCACTTGTTCATGACTCATTAATAACAAATAACAATTTTAAAGATGGTTTTAATAATGAGATGAAACGAAAAAGAAAACAAAAAGAAAGTACACACATGATCTTTGCGTTAGAAAATAACACAACAAGAACAACAAGAACTTGACCTTCTTGATTGAATTTCATCTGGGTTGATTGCAGTTCCACCTCCAACAATGGGACGGTTATTATTTATTTCCATTCTTCTTGTTGGTCTCCAAGGTGGTGGTTCTATATATTCTTCTCCAGTTTCTTCACAAGTCTTTCGTTTAAGAATTCTTCTATATGTATCAGCACTTTCACAATCATATTTAACACAATATGTTGGTGGATCAAAAGGATGAACCTCAAAATATTCTTTTGCTCTTTTATTTCCTCCAAGTTTCATCATTACTAATTGTTGTGGTTTAAAATTGTCTAATGTTAGTGATCTGACAAATGAAATATGAACGCCATATGACCTATGAATACCAGCACAATTCATACACAAATAAACTCCATTATTTAAAGAACACCAGGTGGGGTTATTTTTACCACAATCAAAACATTTCTATCAATAAGTATTTTTCATTGAAAATAAACTATTTTCCAAACTTGATTTTCTGGTTCTTCCATTTCTTTAGAGAAAAAAGAAGTTTGGTCAATTGGTTGTTGTGACATATTGATTGAAATTTTTTTAGTATTTTCTTTTTCAAAATAACACGTTAATTTTATTTTTTGTTATTTAAACTATTTTTTATTAATTAAAATGAATAGTTTAATTATGATTAATATACAAAAAACAAAAAAAGGGTTTACAAAAGATCAAAGTAAATTCAGACCATGCCACCCAAGGACGCTAAGGGAAAAGGAGCTGCTTCAGGAAAGAAAGGTGCTTTAACTAAACCAAAAAAATCATCTGGAGGAAAAGCTCCAAAGAAATCATGGTCAAAGACCAAAGTCAAGGAAAAGTTAAACAATGCTGTTTTATTTGATAAAGCTACCCTTGATAAATGTACCAAGGAAGTTCCATCAATGAAAGTTATTACACCAGCTGTTGTTGCTGATAGAATGAAAATTACTTGTTCCCTTGCTAAAATTCTTCTTAAAGACCTTGAAAAGAAAGAATTAATCGTTCCAGTTAAAGTTGATAATCACATTTGGATCTATACTAGATCAGCTAAACACGCTGCTGCTGCCCCAACTGAAGCTGAAAAGAAACCAGCTAAGGGATCAAAGAAACAAGTTAAAGCTTAATTAATATATTGCTTTGAATTAATTTTAATTAAAAATAAGGTTGGTTTCTTTTCATTAATTTATTATAATTAGGGTTTTTTATCTATGATTGAATCTCATTTTCTTTTGATTAATGATTAATATTTGTTGTTTTATTTTTTATTTTCTTTGTTGTTTTCTTCTTCCTCCTTTTAGAATAAAAATTCATTTTCATTATCAAATAAATGTTTGGTATTTAATACTTTCATCTACTCATTGGATTCCTCCTTATATGCCATGTTGTATTATTTGTTCTGAATTGTTATTTAACTTTAATTGGAATATTTTATTTCAACAACCACTTGGCTGTATTGTGTGGTTATTTATTTATGTCTTTATTCATGAAATTGGACATATTATAATATTATTATATCATGGGTATCCGTTTGAAATCAAACTTTCATGTTATTCAGTATCTATTCATCATAACTGTAAAGATAGAGTCATTTATTCTTCAGGGATTATGTTTTTATATCTTTTCTTAAACATTACATCAATAATATCATCTAATGACTATATAATAATTGGATTATTATTATGTTTAGTAGACTCTCTTCCATTAAAATGGATGGATGGATTTTATTGTTATTAAACCAAGTTAAATTAGTTATTTCACTGAATTACTAAATAAAGTTGACGCTGTTGCTGTAGTGTCTTGTTGAAGAGAGTCAGTTAGTGGAGTATCATTTATGTCTTTTGTTTGATTTAAGACATTTGTTAATTGTTCCATCAACTGATCATTTTCTTCATCAGTTCCATCTTCACTTAATGATGGGCTTTTTAAGTCTTCTATAAATTCATCAAATAATTCATCAAAAGTAGTTGTGTTTATATTTCCATTCGGTAGTAAGCCGTCTGATTTAGTGACAAATCCATTAATGTCTGAGTCTATTCCAATGACATCAGTAATATCATCTTTTAAAATACTTTCTAATTCATTTTGATCAAGTATTTGTTTATAGTCTTCTATCAAATCTTCTATTTTGAATTCGTTGATATTATCTTCAATTAAAGGAGATGATATTCGTTTTGACTCTTCAGACTGACAATATTCCTTGATTATTAGTAATCTAAAAGAAAGGAGAGGAACAAACAATCAAACGTCAAAAAGTTTAGTGTATTGAGGCATAAAATGGTATTGTGATGATTGTTGATTTAAATTAAGTAAATGAGTAAATCCAATAAGTATCATTTTACCTAATATCTCTTGATATGATTGGGTTTCAGCATTTTGAAGTATATAATTATAATATCGATTAAATTGTAATGTTGTCATTTTAAGTTGACATTGTGATGATTTTTCATAACTTAATGGAAACTGATCATTTAAAGTAATGTCATTATTAATGAATTTATTAATAATTATTCCAAAAAGTTCGTAATGAATATTAAGAAAATTAGCAATTTGGATTGGTAATATTCCAATAGTATTATGAACAGAGAATAGTGAGGCACGTTTAGTTATAAGACTTAAAACTTTCTTTGTTATTTCTTTATTACAACAATCATTTTGCATAAGAAATGGATTTGTATACGTTAGTTCATTAAAATAAATTGACCCATTTTTAATAAATACTTTATGTGAATCATTTTCAGGAGTAATGTAATTAGGAAGATATTCTGAACATTCTGCTAATATTATTTGACCATCCTCATCAAAAACTTCAAAAATTACATTATTATTTTTACTAAATTCAATCAATTTATTAATAACAAGCCATTCATCTTGTATTGAATGTTGAATATTAATTATTGACACTTTTTCTTTATACTCTTCATGTTCAATAAAATCCATAAAATAAACAACGTCATGATCAACTTTCCATTCAATGAGGTTGTCATTATCTCCTTTTTTATAACAATGTATTTCAAGACAATTAACAATACTTTTACATTTTCTCTTATTTTCAATAAGTTGGTTAAATGTTATATTCAATTCATTCATGTTTTTATTATTATTTTAGTTCTTTTTATTGATAAAATCGAAGGTAGCATGTCTGAAACACCACACAAACCCTAATACAATTCATGTTTTGACTCTCCTAGTTATTATCTGATTATGACAGTGTATTTTAATTAGAAATGTATTAGGTAAAGTTGCAAAGTGTGTAGCAAGATATTATGATAGAATATTACATGGTGTAATATAAGGAAGTACTAAAGTGTGGGTAAGACTAAAAGAAAATTAAACATAATAATATAATGGGAATGAAATAGTCTTTTCTCTCATTCATAAAATAAAGAAAAAAGGAAAAAGAAAATGTTTAAAATTAAGATAGAAAATAAACAAAAGGAATAAAAAGAAGAAATAAGCAGAAGAAGTTTGAAACCCTTAATAAGAAGAAATAAAACAAAGAAGTGCTTTCCTCATTTTGCAAGAAAAAACATAAATGATAAGTTAAACAAAAAGATTACTCTTTTTTAAACAAGCTAAGGGATAGAATTATTCTCCATTGAGCAAGGAAGAATAGATAAAATTCTATTTAACACTTAATTATCTAATTTTTAATTTCTCGTTCTTTTTACTGAGTAAAAAAACTATTACAATTATTTAATTTCAAATAAAAAATGGTTTAATGATGATATGGTTGATTAAATCCTTGTTGGGGTGCATACCCATATTGTTGTGGAGGTTGGTTCATTGGATTATTGTATTGGTTTCTTGGTACTTGCTGATAAGGATTATATCCTGGTTGATTTGGTGTATATCCATTTGGTGGGATATATTGAGGTTGTTGCATTTGAGGATTAATTCCATAGTTTGGTTGTTGTTGACTTCTTGGTGGAAGTTGAGGTGGTACTTGTGTATTTTGTTGACCTCTTGGTGGAAGTTGAGGTGGTACTTGTGTATTTTGTTGACCTCTTGGTGGAAGTTGAGGTGGTGCTTGAGAGTTTTGTTGACTTCTTGGTGATAATTGGGGTGGTTGGTTTCTTACAGGGAGCTGAGGGGGTTGGCTATATGTTTCATTTGTTTGTTGATTCACTTGATAAGGTATTTGAGAAGAACATGGAGGTTGTGCAGATTCAAAGTTTTGTGGAATCGGTTGTTGTTCATAACTTCTTTGAGGTACAGGTGGAATTGTTTGATCAATACCTGAGAGTGGTGGTTGTTGATTATTTATCATTTGATATGAACTTAATGGTCCAGTAGATGGTAATGGATTATAACCAATTTCTTGTGGTATTGGTTGAGAAGGTATTTGAGGTGGGAGTTGTTGTCTTGTTGAAAAAGGCATTTGACCAGGAAAGTTTGATATGTTTTGGTTATTACTTTCTTGTTGAACTTTTAACTGAGCTAATTGTTGAGGGCTTGGTTGTAAAGCAGCAAAGTCTTTATATTTCATTGGTTCCATGCCAACAACATATCCTTGTTGATGGGTAAGTGGGATATAACCACATTTATAATTTAGTTGGTATTTTGACTTAGGTGTTTCTACACAAAAATTCTTTTTAGGTTTTGAAGGATTAGAAGGATTTTCTACTTCGAGAGAAATTCCTTCAATTGAAGGAATTTCAAACCCATTACTTTCAGATTGAATGGGAACATTACCAACAGGTTGTTCAATGTATTGAGGTGGGGGATTATTTATACAAGGTTGTAAAGGAATTTGTTCGATACCAACAGGGATATTATAGTAGTCCGGATTTATACTTCTCAAACGTTGGAGAAGAATACTCACTCTTCCACCATCATCTAAACTAATATTTAGAGTTGATTTTATTTCAACATTTGATAACCTAAATTTTCCTTTTCCAACGATTGCCCCTTCACGAGAGAATAATGCAGGGTTTTTATTTAAAATTTCAAGGTCACAAAAAGCACCTTCTTGATAAGTGATAAGATAAGATTGATTAAAAATGACAACTTCCTTTGGACAGTCAACATAATAAGTAGAATAAACAGAACCATTAAGAGTAAAACTACAATATGGATAAAATTTTTTTTGACCCATTAATGATAAATCAGAAGCAGAAAGGATAGTTAACAGATATTTTCCTTGATAACTAACATTTTTAGGAATTAAACTAGTATTTAAATTCCAATAAATACTTCTTAAACAAGTAATATTTACATCAATTACTCCTGATGGTAATATTGGAGCAAGATATTCAATTGACTCAGTCTCAAATAAATCTGGAACTTCAAAAGTAGTTGTTCCTAATGAATATGATTTATCTCTACTTGGTTTAGCAAATACTTCAAACTGAATTTGATCACCAACAGTAGTTTCAACATAAAGAATTTGATTAAGTAATGTATTTGTACAATCAGTTTTACCACTAGGAGTTATTGGAACTAGTGTTTGAATGTCAGTAGAATTACTCTTAACACTAACAGTAAACTGATATCCTTTAGAAGAGACTTTCTTTGATATTTTATAAAAACTATCAAGTAATCCATAGAGTTTATTGAATTTTAATTCCAATAACATTTTAGCATTTGGATCTATCATTTGTCTAGTAATTTGACAACCTCCAGAAATACATTTTGCAATGATATATAAATATCCTTTTACATCTATTTTTAGAATGTGATAAGTAGTTTCTCCATTATTCATTGCTGGTACTTTCCATTCTGCTTTTCCAAGTGGATCATCACTCCCAACTGTATCATGATCAAATACTTCAAATACTACAACCTCTCCGATGTTATATTTAACATCAAATTTCTTATTCCAAATTGGGTCAAGTGTACAATCAATAATTTGTGTTTTTAACTTTTTACCTTCAGAGGTAAATACTACATATGGATCTGATGTATAAACATCTCCAATTTCTACATTTTTAGCACAAAATATGTTAAGTTCAATTTGCATGTAATCTATAAATTTTTTTAGTTCTACAATGGAATAAATTGATATGAAGAAAAAAAACGAAAACGTTTAATTCCTCATTTAAAATTTTACAAATTAAAAAAAAAAGAACTACAAATTAAAAAACAAAAATGTTTCCAAATATAGATTTAGGCAAATTACCACCAAAAAGTGATGATATTGATGAAATGTTAGAAATTGAACATGAAATGATAGTTAATGCACTCACATATTTTCCAAATTCTTTTAGTTTTAATATTGAACCTAATTCAGAAAAACATACAATAACAATTAAAGGGTCATATTGGGATGTTGGATGTAAAATTGGTTTAACCGTTTGTGGATGGAAAAATGGTTTTTACAAAGATTGCTTGTTTTCTCCAGATGAATCAAATTTTGAAAAGACATTTTCTTATATTGAAGATGGATATTACGATGCGTTAATAATTAAAGACGATGTCATTAAAAGAAAAGAAGCCGTTTATATTGGAAAACCAATTAAATTTAAAGTAACTCAATGTTTACTTGATGCAGTTGACATAGAACTTGAACGAGCAAAAGAAACTAGTTGTATTGTTATTTATAAAGACTCAACAATTATCAAAACAAAAAGAGTTCTTGTTGGAACAACAAAACTTAGAATAAAATTAAATAAAAAACATAACACTAAACATATTTATGTCTTTAAATATTACCAAAATTGCTTTACTCGTATTGATAAAGACGTCCCATATAATGCATTAGAAATAATAACTCTCTAAATTGTATTTGTAGTATCTGTTTCTTTCTTTATTTTCTCCTTCAAAATAAAATAATTCAGTGTGGAAGAATGAAGTAATTCTTAAATAACAATAACCATAAAACAAAATAAATTACCAAATAGATAATGAAATGTTAATAAAATTGTCATTTATTCCTTAATTAATGGATATTAATCACATTATACATTATTTAAAATGAGTATTTTCTTTGTTTTCTTTGTTATTTAGTTTTTCTTTTTGTTTTATTTCTTTTATTGTTTTTTCTGTTTGTTTATTCTTTTTATCTTCAGCTTTGATGTTTATTTTTATTCTCATTGAATTATCACTACTTTATTTCTTATTTTATGAATAACTATATCATTATCATTATATTATTATATATAATTTCATTTATTATTAGTATCATCATTTATATATGTTTCTTTTCTTATTATTCTTTCATATTATCTTATTTCATTCTTTCTATTATTATTTATTATATTTCTTATTAAATTAATTCATCATATTCAATTATTATTTGATATTTCAGTGCTTTTCTAAACATCTCTCATTTCATCTTTTTTTCTTTTCCTCTTTTCTAAACATCACTTATTTATTTCTATTTTCTGTATTCTTGTTGTTATTTTATTTAGTTCATCTTTTATCATTTATCATTTCTTGTTTATTCATGTTTGTTGTATATTTTATTATTATTCTTTATTTTATGTTGTGTTATTCTTATTTATCTTTCTTATTATGTTTTGTTTATTATTGTTTAAATAGAAAATAAGAATAAAGAAAGAATAAAGAAATAAAATATAAATATGTTGATATTTTATCATTTCTTTATTTGTTTATTATTCTTATTTCTATTATTTTATTCATTTGATTCATAACGAATTAATTCAATGAAATAATACAAATAAATTGTTTATTCATTTCATATTATTTCTCTTTCATTCTTATTTCTTTTCTTATTTATTAAAAACACCATCATTCTGTGTGTAAATATTTCAAATGAAATAAAATAAATCAACATTGAATTATCTCCATTTTTAATTTATCATTTCATTCATTGGCAGATGAACGAAATGGCTGTTCATATTCTTCATTGATTTGTTTTTATTCTTTTTTAGTTCATTTTCAATTAATCAAGATTGAATCATTTCATTTCAATTACTATGATTCGTTTTGGTATGAAATGTTCTGGAAGTTGTTTTCCACAAAGTGCATTTGATATTTCATTATATTCAAATGAACGTTGATAACAATATGATAGTGTTTTATTATTTTCTTTATAAACACAAATATCACCAAATCCAAATTCAAACAAATACTCATCTGTTTGATTATGTAAATAAAATGCACATTGTTGTTCTTTAATATCAAATTTCTTCATTCTTTTCATTCTTCCATTTGATTCTAATGAAAATAAAAATGATTGTGAATCATATATCCAACCATCATCTTCATCAATTTTCTCATTAACATATCCTCCAAATTTATTTCCTTCTTCATCTTCAATAATAATTATTATATGTTTTTTATTTTTTATTCTTTCTCCAAATACTGATGTAATAACTTTCCAATCATCAACATCTGAATCAAATAGTATATTTCCTACTTTTCTATTTGTCCATTCTTCTATTTGGTGAATTATTTTATCACGTAATGTTTTATAATGATGATATAATTCTAATTATTTGTATTGTTTTCTGTTATAAAATGATATTTTTATATTCAAGTTTATTATTTATTATAGTTAATTTATAATTAATAATATGATTTTAACATATGATCTCTTAAATATTAAATAGATTAATTTTTATTTTCAAGTCTTTTCTTAAACATATCAAAAACTTTCATATAAAAGAATGAAGTGGTTCTATTCAATAGAAAAATACTGTAAATATAAAATGAAATAAAATAACAAACAAATGATATTATTCTCAATATTTTCATTTCATTAATTATTTATCATCATTCTTAAAATAAAAGAAGATGAAATAATATTTCAGTGATTAAAATAAAATAAAATAATTATTTCTTATTTTCAGCATTTTTCTTTTTTTTAAAATCAAATAACATAACATTTTCCACAAATAAAAATTAACCAAATAAATATAAGCGTCATTTAAAAAAGTAGTGACGTCACTATTCATTATTAATATCTTAATATTCAGTTGTGAATTATTAACTATGGCAGACTCATCTTCATCATTTCTTGTTGGCTTTGATAATCCTCAACCAGAACATCTTCCAGAACAAAATGATGAAATACCAAGAGATATATCTGTAGTACCTGATATTCATATTGAAGAAAATACTCAAACAATAACAGAAATTGAAAACAAAAGAAGAGAAATTCAAAATAAAATCAAAGAAGAGGTTCAACTTCTTTGTTATCCAAAAGGTATTTCACAAAGTGAGACTTGCAAAATAAAAGAAAGTTATTTAGAACATTGTAAAGAGTTAAATGAATTAACTATTAGTTACAATGCAAACACTGATGGAATGACAAAGAAAAAAGAAAAAAGAAAAGATTGTATTTTAGTTGCAAAAACAAATGAAAGGTTTGTTGATGTATTTTGTGGTAAAGTGGTTAAATTATTCTTAGATACTCTAAAAGGGTATCGTATAGATTTTCCACATCTCCAATATTGTAATATAGAAAATTCAACAAGAAATACATACGAACAACTTTTTGGACAAAAAGATTTTGGTATATTTTGTGTTACTAAACAAGCAAATGTATTTGGTATATTCTTTCATTCTGTTAAATCACTTAATGAACAGACTTATGGTTGTTATGAGTCTGCTTTATTCATTATAAGAAGAAATGGAATGAAAGAATATATTCCAAAAGTAAGTAAAAGAGCAAATGATATTGAAATTGTATTTGGGAATAATGAGAATGATGAATTGTTGATAACAGTCATTAATAGTATTGGAGATTCAGTACAATTTTTTAATAACAGATTCAACATTGTTGGTGATATTCATAACATGTTTAATGAAGTAGAATGTAATGATATGTTATTAAGTAGAAATAGCAACAATGAATATCAAGAAGAAATAACTGAATTAAAAGTTATGAAAATTAAATAAGATAATAATTGAAATAAAATAACTAATGGTTATTATTTTTAATTTAATAACAATAAATAAAATGATTAAAATAATAATATTTTCATAAAACATCTTTGTTATATCATTTTAATTGTATAATATTTCAATGATTTATTCAATGTACTATTTGTATATTTTCATCATCATTGGATTATATTGTTTATTCATTATTTATGTTATTCATTCATAATATCATTTTCTTTTTAACCCTTTTTGAAATTCATGGTTATTTGTTTTTACAATTCAATATAATGGTTATCAATTCATATTCACTTTATTGTATTTATACATTCATTCTAATTAATGATTTAATCAAATGATAATATTCAAACATATATTTCAATATTTATTTCGTGTGTTATGTTAAATTACAAAACAACAATTTTAAAGATTTTTCAATAAAACTGAATTTTGATGAATAAACAACAAACTAGAGAATTATTTCAAACACTAAACAAATTATAATAATACTTAAATAATACTCAAATGAATGAAATGACACATTTGTTATAAAGAATTAATAATTTATTATTCAATAATTTAACTTAATATAATTATAATACAACACCATTCATATAATTAAGTATTAACAAATAACAAATAATTAAAATATAAGTTACTCATAAATTATATGTTTTAAACATACAATAAATGTGAACTAGAAAAGAAAATGATAAAAAGAAACAAAACATGTAATAAAGAATATAAAAAGAAATAAATAACAGTTAATAATCAAGAAGAATATCTAAATCAACAAGTTATGATGATATTTTTAAAATTATTCAATGAAACATAATATAAAACAACAAATGATTAACGTTGAAGATATACATTCAATAATCAACAAGTAACAGTACTTTATTAAATAGAAATAACAAAATGAATATTCATATGAATAATAAATCAATTAATTTTAAACATTTTAAGTGAACCAAAATAAGCAAAGAAAAATGCATCTAAATAATT